GATCTCTAGGCCACTGAGAAAAGTTCTTACAAGTCTGTCTTAAAGCTCTTGTTAAACAAGATTGTCCATTATCTTACGTCCGAAACCGGTAACTCAATAAGTTCCTGAGAGCCTATATTAAAAATAAATAAACATATTACCAAAGGTTCATTTCTTTTTCAGATTTAAAAATTATTACAAGAATCACATTGCTTCCTTGAAATTTTCACCTCAAAGAAACAAAAAGTAATGTTGAGTTTGTATTCTATAAAATCTTTGCTTTTGACAATTCAATGTTCAACTTCTCAATTATGGAAAGCTTAGAAGGAAACAAAATACATAAAAATCGTAACTCAGAATTTTATAACTAAAAAAACATTTTGGACATTATCTATAATTAACAGCTTTTAAATTTAACCCCATCTGTATAAAAAGATGTCCAGAGCAAACCTCTACTCCTCCTGTCTCCTCTCACCCCTCATCTGGGTGGATTTTATTTATGCTTTGGACGACCTTTTTTGGCCATTAGAACCATCTTGCTTCAGCAGTTAATTAGCACAAGTACCATAATTTAATACAGTTAATGCTACTTGATGCCCTTTAATGTACCTTCCATTAGTGATATTATTGTAGTATTACCCTGTAAATTAAAACGAGATCAAGACTGAGAGAGCTGCTCTTTAATTAAGGCACTGGCACACTGCGCTCGTCTATTATTCACTAGAGAAAATCACCCTGATTTACTGATGCAGGACATCCATAAGTCAGAATTAGTCCATGAGGATTATTAGGTTTATTGAACAATGTAAGTACTAGGAGTCGCTGAGATTGCCAACAGCCATGCTTCCTCTTTTTTCTCCATTATCTTAATAAATTCACAATGAGAAGGAGTAAATGGAAGCAAAATAAGTGGTAACAAAAGAAGAATAATTTTTTTTGATAAGATTATAGTGTTAATAGGTATCAGATGTATCAAACGCTAAAAAGAGCATAAATGCTACATTAATCTAATGGAAATAAAAACATGATGTTTACACCAAACAACAGTAGCCAGTATAAAACATATATGTGCAGAAAGAAGTGGAGAATTGGAATTCATAGTCGATTGAAAGATTCTCCAATGATTTTTGTTACCTAGTATAATATTTCCAGGTAAAAAATCCTGTATTCTCTGTTCACTATTCTGTAGATATTTATATTTGGTTTCCATTCCACTTTCCCGAAATAACTCATGCTAATTCCCACATTATGTGGTAGTGGTGGAGGAGGTGACCAGTAGAAAAAATATCATTATCATGATCAGATATAGACATGTAAAGGCATATTAAATGTTGCAATCATTTCATGGGATGGAGGTGTAGGGGAAACAAAGATCTCAGTTAGATTTTGGGAAGTTTATATTTGTGATAGTCTTGAAAAGATAACTTTAAAACTTCCTTTAGAGATCACTAATTAATATTTGATCGTCCTATAGATGATTTGTTATGTAAGAGAAAGACAACCTAGACCATTCATTCTAAGGTAATTTTCAAGAGTAAAATAATTATATCAGTTTCTATGCTGAAAGGTTATGTGAACCAAGCAACAGCTCAACATTTCCCTTTAGTGGCTCCATCATGAGCAGATCTTCCTTGTATAACTTAAAAGCTGGAGACACGCCTGAGCCATCAGGCCTTGCTTCTTTAGTCCCTCCCCAAATACTAAAAATACTCCAGCCATCTGGTGCCTAGCGCAGTACATGCCAGCATCAGTGTGGCCCTGAGGAATTTGGACAGAATTTGGAGGTGACAGAGTGGGACCTTATGGAAGGGGCTCACCTCTACTGGACCTTTCTTTTTCACCCAGCTGCTTCTCACCAGCTTGCAGTTGACTGATGAACAGGAAAGGACAGGGCAGCTGAGTACCAGAGAAGGGAGGAGGGCTCCTCCAAACTCCTCAGAACCACTGCAGTGCAGCTGGAGGACATGACTCGGATGAGGAATAAAAGAAAAGTAAATCTGGAGAAGTCTACATTTCTAACATGTCACCTCTAGGTGATGGCATGTCTGACCCCAATGAAGAATGTTAAAATGCCTGTGGCTTTAAAGTATATTTTACACTTTCTTTTAAATAATTAGAATGAACAAAAATGAATACCCAATAACAAAAATAAGCCCCAACAATGGTTATTTCCCAATCAAATAGCTGCAAAAGTTTGCCTTCTTTACAAGTGGCAAATGAGAGTGTTTGGGGAAGGATCCCTTAATAGGGATTTGGGCTCAGATTAAGAATTTCTTGAACTGCAAGGAAACTGACCTAGTTGAATCTACCTAACAAAGCAGATCACACTAGGATTCAAATTCAAATCTCAGCTTATCAATTTTGACCTTTATTATTATTATTTTTTTTGTCTTTTTTCGTGACCGGCAACGGATTGCAACCCTCAGTGTTGCGCCCGTACTGGACCGGGACCGGCAACAGGATCGCAACCCTCGTGTTGCTCCCGCACCTTGCTCAGCCAGTGAGCCCCGGTCTGTATGTGGGATCCGAACCCTCGGCGGGAGCA